GAAAAAAAATCTGGGACATTTGTGAGGAAAAAGCAAGGAGTTCATCGGGATCCAAAGGGATTTACAGACGACGCAGTGTCCTGGGTTCTGAAGGGTTTGACTGTGGCCGACATTACTGGGAGGTCCAGGTGGATGACAAGCCTGAGTGGGCCGTGGGGGTCTGTAGAGACTCCCTTTCCAAGGAGAGAGAGCAGCCCCTGCTCAGCCAGGAGGAGAGATGTTGGGCGATTCAGCTGCAGGATGGTGACTGTGTGGCTCGAGGGCCTGTCCCTGTCACCCTTGTGCTGCAGGAAAGGCCCAGAGGGATTGGCATCTACCTGGACTATGAGATGGGTCACGGCTCCTTTTACAGTTTGAATGACATGTCTCACATCCATTCCTTCGAGGATACATTGTCTGAGGTGCTCAAGCCTTACTTCTATGTCAGATGTGATCCCAAACCTCTTACCATCGTGCTTTAAGAGATTAGGAAGGATGAACTGTTACTTTGGTTCATTTTCTTCCTGTGACTTCTAGGCAGTAGGTAGAATTTTTTAAATTATAATTTTATTGTTACTTTACTTTTTAATTTATTTTTATAGATGTCAGAGGGAAGGAAGAGGGAGAGGGATAGAAACATCAGTGATGAGAGAGAATCATTGATTGGCCGCCTCCTGCACACTCTCTACTCTGGATCCAGCCCCCAACCGAGACATGTGCTTTTAACTGAATTGAACCCAGAATCCTTCAGTCCACAGGATGAAGCTCTATCCATTGAGCTAAACCAGCTGAACCTCTACCTGGGGAAACAACCTTTCTCGGAGAGGTGACCTTGGTTAAAACACATAGCGCCAAGAAGGGGAGCAAACACATCAAGAACAGTATGCCATATATGCCAGGTCCCCCGAGACATATGCTGTGCAGATGTTTCTTCCCTGCAGCAACCGTGTCAAGCAGCAAGAATGGGCCGGCTTCTGGTAGAATTTAAATGGGAGAATATGGAGATGACCACTCAGTTCACAGTGGGAGCTGAAGGTGAAAGGTTGCATAGTCTACTTCTGTCCACAGAGTAGAGTCCTCCACAGAGAGATGTTCCTATCTCTCCCTCTCCCTTCCTCTCTGAAATCAATAAAAATGTATTTTTTAAAAGTGGTATCTCATTATTACTAGTACATTAAATTGCATGTCCCTGACTCCTAGTGAATTTGAACATATTTTCATGTTTATTAGCCAGTTGGATTTGCTCTTCTAGGAATATTAGATCCTTTGTATATATTTTTCTTCCCTTCCCCTCCCAATCTTATTTTGAAACATTTCAAGCCTAAAGGAAAATTGAAAGAATAACAATGAGTGTTTATATGTCCTTCCTCTAGTATGTCAGTCACGGCTCAATCAAGCTGTTCTCACCACATAAAAGAAATGACAATTATATGACATGATAGGGGTTAGTTAACTATGGTGGTAATCATATTTCAATATATAAATGTATCAACATGTTGTACACCTTAAACTTGCACAACATTATGTATCAATTATACCTCAATAATAAACGACTCAACCAGAGAAGCAGACCATTAGGATATGCATATACATATTCACACACACATTACTTTTTCAGTTAGGAGATTTGTTACAGGGCGTTGCCTTTACACAGTTATGCAATTGTAAGAGCTGGTTAAACAATCTGTGAAAGGCCTTCGTCTTTGCTTCTGATGTTGGAGCTTGGCGTCTGCGGGCAGGAAGGCAGGAAGGGAAGGCAGATGGAAAGTGGGGGAGTGGGGGTAAGCCAGAACCCATGAGGACAGACTGGAACCCGAGTCAGTCTCACGTTGCCTCCAACTTTGATGATGCGAATGTCCTGCAAGGGAGGCTCCATTGCTCCACTGGGAGGCGAGCCCTGCAGTGCACATCCTAGCACAGCGCGGGCACTGTCAGGGTGGCATTGTTCCAGGACCGTTTATATGTTAGCCTTCCTTTTCCCAGGGAGTTCAATTCTATCTTCTCGTATATACAAACACCTGGTTTTGGATTCCTGTTTTATTCTGCTGATCAATTATTTTCCCTTTACCTATTGATTTGATCAAGTGGCCTTATAGTGTGTTCTGATAGTTGGTAAGGCAAAATTATCTTATTTTCTTTAAATATTTGTTCTTGACTATTCTTTGAGGTGTTAATTGTAAATATTTTAACTATACATTCTTTAATTTTTGAAGAGTTGATTCTTTGGAGAATCATTTTTTGATGATATTGTTAACGTAAAAAAAAAAAAAACCATTGGAAACCTGTAAAGAATTTTTGTGAGTTTATTTGAGCCAAACTGTCGGCATATGCCGGGAAGCAGAACCTCAACGAATTGAGATAGCGCTCCGGAGAATGGCGGGGTTACATCTGTATTTATACATGAAATTCGTTGGTGACACATTTAAGGAGGTGGGATTAAGCGAAGTGGGGAAACCTCTGTGATAGGATAAAAGTAAAAT